TGCATTTTGCGCTTTCGCTACTTCCCATCGTCGTGTAGAGCCATCAAGTAGAGACCTGTGAACCCACCCCTCAGCCGAACTTCGCCTCCTCACTAGAAAAGTTGCCTGGTCGAAGTAGCCAAAGTATGCGGTCAGGTGCATTCACGTGGTGCGGGTCACATCACTTCGACCTTTGATCCCTCCATAGTTGACCAAATTATCCCCCTCCTCCCGTATAAGGATCATACAAGTATCAAATCGAGCCACAGCTCTTGAGAATAGAAAAAAGCTCTGCAAAACAAACAGGCGTTGATATGCCGCTGAAGCCGACACAGTTCAGCGATCGAACTCTCCGCTGCTGTGCTCGGTACTATGGCCACTTCTGTCACAATCGGCGGGGCCGGCAGTTGCGCCAACGACTTCGGCCCCAGCGCTACCGTCGCAGGAGGAACCGCCAACGTGGTTCGCGGCGAACTTCTGCCGGCCTTCGGACAGGGATCGATTGCCGGCGAAGAGAAAGAGAGGTTAGGCCACTTTTTTGATCTTTATTGTTGTAATTGTTGCCGGGGGAACAGGTTCCCTTCCCATCGGAGCATTCATTTGAGCATCATTCTAATGATTTCAGGTCGACCAGCCCTCTTTCAGTAGCTGGTGACTTTGTATCTTTGGGAGACTACGATCCAAGTGAGGCGATTTTCCTCCAGGTTCCTTAAGACATCGGAAAACATCTAAATCTTAGGTACTGCTCTATGCGACTCGCCAGTTTTGTCCGATGCACAGATCCGTCGCCTTTCGAGTTGTGCGATGGCCATTTGCCAAAAAATCCCTCGACTGCCACCGAAACTCGTCCAGAATAAGAAGCGAGTCTCAAAGTGTGTTTTTTCACTTGACTGCAAGTAACGAGGCGGTTGTCAGTTATTGAAATTTAGGGAAGTGCTTGATCTCCTTTCTACAACTCCCGATTCCCCTAATCGACTCGCTGAATATCGCAAGTATTCGGCTATTTATGGCCGATTTGATGCCAAACGAAAGCCGGACAAGGTATGAGTTGTCAATAGACAGGGATGAATTACACGAGGGTTCGAAGAGGAGTTGGACGAATGAGGGTTGGCACTGGACGGGCTAGGCCAGCAGCGGCCCTTGCCCACCAGTTACGGTCGCATCTGCAGCCTACCTATAATTGGCCGAAAAAGGGCACTCTGGACTGCGTCTCCAATCACACCCACTTCCACGCGCTCACTCTCGTTACTGAGAGAGCACCGTGAAGGTTCTTGGGCTATGACAAGAACCGTCGAACCCTGTGCTCGCCGTTATTACAGTAGCTTCAAAAACAGGTGGCTTGCCAGAACCAATTCTCCACTGATCCCTAACATTTTCGTTGTGCTGTATAAGAGAAGGTATATGTTCCAGGGCTATTTCGTTCCATGACGGTGTCTGTTGAATGAAGCTGCTTGCTACTTTGCCTTCTTTACTTACAAGAAGAGACGAGCTGTTCCCATTGGCTAGGCAGGTAAGTCATGAATGAAAGTTCCGAAGACGTTTGATTAACCGCTCTCCAAAACTTCTCTAAGTCAAGAAAGCGATTAGGCAGGTCTATAAAGGACGGTTGACGGAGGTCCAGTCTGTCCGTGAGGGACAATATAAGGGACGGCAAGTGTTGAGTGTTTCCATTATGATTTCTGAGTGGTGAAACTGCGCAGCTCCATGGGTTCGAAACGTTCTTACAACCACTTCTCGCTCCCAAAGCTACTTAGTCATTTGGCTTGTCATCATCCGAACAGTTCGCACTTCTCTGATATGTAAAAGTTCTTCCATTGTCTTCTTACATATAGTCAGTACCGCCAGTCCGGCTGAGGTGTCAGGTGAAGCAGTGACATTCCGCACATAACTTATGAATAATGTCAGCTCCACAGAAAATTATTTCATATTATTATTTGAGGTAGTGAAAGACGCGGGCTACCATTATGCAAAAGCGAGTCGCAAACGAGGTTATGATCTTCTTGATTCACACTTCACCACCAGGCAGTCCAACGCAAAGGTAGGTGTCAGAGCAGTTGTGAATTAGCAGTCAAGGGGCACTTTTTTCTCACCGATTTATGTATGATTTCAGTAGCCCATGTCCCGGTGACGACAATGACGAAGTAGACAGCGTGTTCGGTGCCGCGCTGAAGCAGTCTGACGAGAAACGGAAAAAGTCCGATACAGTGCGTGATTTTGAGGAATAAATATTCCAGCGCTTCATTTTCTATCGAACAGATCCGATCTGAAACTTATTTTCCTATATTTGTTCCTTTTTATCGTCGTGCTTTTATTTTCACTCCTTTGCCCTCTTGTAAATCATGACTGGTGGAGTTCGGATATCATATGTACAGTCAATGTCAATGGAGACGAGAGGGGCCGGAAGGGCATTTGTAGTGCAGCTAGAGTGGCATTTCCCACCAATGATACCATCCTGGCCATGCAACAATTGGTGGGGAAGGCTGCCCCGGCTGAGCTCCCATCCAGCCCTCTCATTTGCAGGGATCACGGCTGTATACACTGACATACATGTAAAGAGGAAAGAGGGCATTGTTGTGAACGTCCTAAAAAGGGACTGCTACCGACTACACTCTAAGAGTGAGCCATGCTTTGGGGAAGGGGCGCAAATGCGCTGCCGCATGGTCCCGCGGTACTCTACTACCCTTGCTAAGTGAACATGCCCGATTTTCTGCGGTATAAGGCGCATTTCGCAGAGTCGCACGCAGCAAAGCGCGCGAAACAGGAACAGTTTTCCTGTCTTTCTTGCGTCGCATAGTCTCCCAATTGTTATCGAAGACTCCTTGTGGAGTATAGGTCATTAATATGCATAAGAACAAACAAAATAACATGCAAAATCAAGGTGAGGAAGATACATTCGAGGCGTTAGAAGTGGAGAGGCGCCCCGTACAAGGGTGCGCCTTATACTCTAGAAAATAGGGCATATACATGACTTGGGAGCAAGGCTTTTTCCCTATTTTTATTGATGGAAGTTGAAGCGCATATTCGTTTACAGAAATAACTTCAGGCACAAGAGAAAGGAACATATCTGGAGCGTTGGGCGAGCTCGATGCTCGCATCGCAGCAGTCAGCATCTAATTCTCCCAGAGGCACACATTAACAAGTATCGCGATTTCCAAGGTTTTGTACGTTTTAGAGATACCCATACTTGAATTTACCTGAGAGTGTTTTTTTTTGTTTAAGTAGCATATTTTCATATAATTCCTGTTTGTTTTTGGTTTTTTTTCTCATTCATCAGCTCTGTTACATAGATTTCCATGCAAAAGCATCCAAATGATTCATGTAAAATAACGATGGATGTCATGTTGTGATACTAATAATCATGCTCTAGTCCAAAATGATTTAGAAGTTTTTTTTCTCATTGATTTAGGCTATTGTTGTCGGATGTATTTATTCATGTGTGTACTTCTAGCAATTTCTAAACCCCGCGCATGTATGTTGCTAAATAGGCATTAATTATCGGATTTAACTGATTATTTTCTTTGCATTTTCATCACAAAATAATTGGTTAGTTATGTAAGTCCTACCAAGTAGGATATTATCTGCAAACATATCCGTTGTTATGCTTGAACAGTGCCGAGACGTACGCTGCTAGCTCCGCCCCCTGTCTCGCACTTGAGGAACGCTCCGCCTCCGCATGTGCGAGATAGGCTGTCCTACAACAGGCTGGCTTTGCCTTACATTCTATGCCACTAACGTCTTAGCCGTTCCAGGGAGCATGTGAGCTTTTCTTGGGTAATAACGATTAAAGCGTCTTTGGGAGAACGTCCATTTAGACCACAACCCAAGTTCTTTGCTCATATGCGAGATGGAGGGGCGAAGACGATGTTGGCTTGAAAGATCAACATGATGGCGCTTTTTTTGCGTGGAGTTGTAACCACTATAATACTTGTGTATTTGTTGACCAAATGCCCGAATTTGAAAAAAGCGGGAGGTTCATATGATGAACTCAAATTTGATGTTTCTGAACGTGGAATAAAGAATTCTGTCTTCGAAACCATTTCTTTTTATGTGTGTTACGAAATAACTTGTACTTTTCTGCATGGCACAGTTGCGAAACCCTCTAGCTCAGGCACCTGTAGGACAGATAGAAAGGTGCAAAAACATGTGGCAGTCTAAGGGAGGGCTTTTTTTTGAAGGGAATGGACGGGATAGGTGAGCCACTTATCATAAGGAAATGCTGGCACATGTAAGACCATGAGTACAAAATGTTAGGGTGGAAGAAGTAGTTGAGAACGTTTGCTGGCTGGCCAACCCTAGCGGGAGGGATGGAATTGCCCTAACTCCAAATTCCAGTATGTCGGCTAGGGTACAGGGCTGGGACATAGCGAAGAGAAAATTTCAGAAAAGTGTCCAGTAGAAATTCTACCCAAGTTGTTACAGAGTTAGTTCAAAAACCATATAAACGACAAATATTGAGGGGAAGGAGGGTTGGGAGCAAAGAGCAATCTGATCTCTTCATCCAAAATGCGTTATGAGGGAAATCAAAGTGATCACAGACTCACAGGATACAGTGAAGGAGATACTTCTTGCGGCGAAGGCGTCGATTAATAGCCGATTATTTCCAGGCTATTTGAGTCGTCGTGCGCTTCTTCCACTTCAAATCAAATAGGTCCGGGTGCGAATGCCACGCATGTGCCACCGCTTTCTGTTTTCGCCGCCACATGGAACTCGTGCTTATGCGCTCGATTTCGCTTATATTTGTTATTTGATTTGAAAGTAGAAGTCAAGCCGAGGTTATCACGACACCTTCATGGCTGCGCTTGTCTCATTGTCATAGGACTAAACCTCCTTGGATCTCGGAAGTATGAGGGCACAAAATTGAGACACAAAAAAAGACTATCGATTTGGGCATGGTCGTGAGTTGGGCCAAACTGCAATTCTGGTCCTTCGACAAATTTGACGGAAAGTTTACTGCTGGATGAGACCACTGTATTAAATCAAAACGAAGCAGTAATCATCGCAGATAACGTAAAAAAAATCACGGGGCAGGAGAGTGAACTGACTATTTTCAAATGATTTTCACTTCTGGAAACACTTCACAAAAAAGACACGTAAAGCTCGTCAATCTGTGTTATGATCAAACTCCTTATCCCACCATTGAAGGTGAGGCGTAAGAATGGAGCCTTATTCAAGTGGCAGCTCGGAAGGTCGAAAAAATTTCCTGAAATCAGCAATGAAGATCAAAACGAAGAAGGCGAGTGCCGTTGCCAATCATGTGTTTGTACGTGCATGTCACTCGCTTCCATTAGAATAGCATCAGTTCTTTATGTGCTGCTTCTCGAAGAAGGCTACTGTTCCTCGAGTTCAAAGACGCTTCTTCAGGCGGCTTCTACCCGCAATGCATACAGCTGTACACGGCACGTTAGGCTTGGAAGGGCATCTGCATTTTCGCCGGTCGCGTTTGCCAGTTCACGTCAATTAACAGGTTGCACTTTGTCGAGACCTGTAAACTCCTGTCCGGCTAAAAAGTGGGGTAAGTGAGCTGCTTGAGTCACAGTAATGCTCTGGTCTTCAGGGCTCAAACTAGCTCCGCTGATTACCTTTTTGCGCGCACGATCCGAACTTGGCGCGGCGCTGTCCACATCTATTGCCCATGCGGCTGAGTGCTCCCTTACCTGCAGGGCTGATGGTGAGGGTCTCTTCTTCTCAACTAATCGCGTGGATATCCGAAAAAAGCGTGAAAACAAATCAAAACTTATTTCGGACATTTTCTAACAGCCATTTGCTTCCTTCTTTCCCGGACAGTCAGTTTGCACATACAAACTCATATTTTGATTCCACCATCCACCGCTTTAGTGGGATGTGTTCAAAAGATCAGGTGTTGTTTATATACACCATTGGAGTATTGATGAAAACAACTTAAATCCACATCCGCGTGCAAAAAGGGGCGTTTCCGCGAGCGCGGCGACGGCTGCAAAGTCCATGCAGAAAGGCAGAGACATAGGCAGCAAAGCGCAGGCTGTGGATACGAGCCGATTCTTCATTCAAGGCGCACAGTGTGCACACAGCCTTGGAGTTTGTTTCAGGCAAAGCTCAGGGGTTCATTTGGAGGTTCCAGTGTTGCAGATCACACTAAAAGCACACAGTTGGCACTTGATCGGCGAAGTGGGAGGGGGAGCTGTACACACCTTGTGGTTTGGTGGGGAACGTGGTGGCACTTGAAGTGTTTTCATGTCACCTGTGCTTGGACATGTCATGCTTGCACTTTGACATGTTCTACCAAGAACACAACTTGTCATACACTTGTCAACTTTTTTCCCTGGTGTGTGTAGTTTCATGCGCGCATAAATTTACTTTTGTAGAAGATTCGTCTGCTTCACTACCTTTCTACTGACTTTCTATTGAGCCTTGTAATCCACGGCTTCTCTAAAATTTGTGCCTTACGCTCA